TCCCAGAATTCCTCAGCCAGCTTTGCTGGCTGAGGAATTCTGGGAGTTGAAGTCCACAAGTCTTAAAGTTGCCAAGGTTGGACACCCCTGATTTCTAGTGGATAAAAAAAACTAAATAGATTTTTTATATGATTCAACAGATTCAGATGTTCCTTATGCATATCTGAACATATCCCTTATCTCACTTTCTTCTGAGAAAAGTGATCTACTACATCTCACAACAGTCATAAACAGCAGTGCTTTAAATATTCCTCAAGGAGTGATACATCACAAAGTTTCTTGTTATTATAGTCAGATCCCAGAAATCTTGTACTGACTCAGGAAACAGTAGAAGGCAATAAGCTCTGGAAACTGGAAACAAGATTGCACACACCAAATGTTAAAAACAATAAGTGCAAAAGTAGCATTCTGTATGTGTATGTTGAAGGATGTCAAACTCAGCAATATTGTGGCTGCAGCATTGCAGTTGACCCCTCCCCTTCTGGTATGTGCCACCAAATGTACAAATAAAAGGGGTGGGATTTCTATAATGATACTGCATTTTGTAGATTTTAGCTCCTATGAGCCACTGTCATATGCAAAATCAGATGCTTATTTGATAATCTACAATTTGACAATATATAATTCCATAAAGTATATCTTTTTAAAAAATGTAGATGAAATGGTTCCCATTTGAATTTCCTATTTTTCCATATGACAGATTTGGACCACAAAACAAAAGTTTGTATATTGCTCCAAGATGTTCCCAGTTCAATTTAATTAATTAATTTAATTAATTCAATTTAATGCCTATCTTGTGTTTTAATGCAAATTTAGAGTGTCAAATGTTAACAATTGTTCTACTCGCTACTTCTCCAAACATCATTGGAGCATGAAACAAGTTCATCTGTATTAGTAATATACGAGAGAAGATGACACAGAAAGGACTCACAAATGATGGCATGGATGTCTTGAACTCCAAACCATGTAGTGAGGGTGATTTCAGCAAAATAAAAATGAGCTGGGTGAATTGAGTGCATGTGATGCAATTTTCAATTGAGTCTTTTCTAAACAAAACAAATCTAAAGACATAAAAGTCCACAAGCCAAATATATGACAGTTGATTTAAACTACATCAGGTTACATCCTCTATTATTAAGGTATTTCATAGCTAAATGCACATTCGTCTTGCATCTCACAATTCTGGCAGAAGACATAAAGACTGTATTATTCTACTTCCTATGTTCCTTTTATTTGTCATTGGAAGAAACATAATTGCATGACAGCCTATTCCTCACTACACAAATGCCATGGTAACCATACTGGAAGCTTGGATACTAAAATGTATATATACTGTATCCTTTGGAGAAGGATAAGTTACGCCAGGGCTCATTTTATCTATATTTGCTCATTCATTTCATTACTGTGAGTTGACCCTAAGGGTACATGCCCTTCCCAATGGATATAATTTTAAATGACTTTCAATAGCATTTTATACTATTCATATAGAAGCGATTCTCTGCCTCACTCAGACCTCAGTTGGAAATAGGAAGAAACAGCACATAGAAGGCATTGTTTCCTTTGAAACTAGAAGGCAAAAGGTAAAAGTATGGAAGTGAGATAAGGATTTTTTTTGTATAGAGTATTGAGAGTCAGGAAATAAGTAGTGAACAAAGTTTTCTTCTACCGTGTTTCTCCAACAATACGCACCCCCCCCCAATAGGAAGACCCACCATGTTTTCTAGGCATAAAATGAAATTAAGCCCCTCCCCCCAAATTTAGGCCTAGTTTAAAACATGCGAAATTGTGGGGGGAGGCAGGGGGAACTTGCCATTAGGAGTGATCCGCGGGCAGCTACGCCTCACCATCAGCCGCTCCTAACAGCCAATCATGGTGGAGCACAGAGGGCTCCCTTACCCCTCCCTTACCCGGGTCAGCAGGCAGGCGGCGTTGGCGTGGATGTCCGGCAGTGTTTCAGCTGCTTCTCAGGCTTCCGTAGCTTCCACGGTTCCCACCAGTGCTGGTGCCTCTCTCGCCAGCACTGTCTCCAACAACAGGGTCTGAGTCACTCCCGCTTTTCCCCCTTTCCCGTAACAACAGGAAAAAAAACATTTTGAGATACCTAGGAGTGCCACGCGCTGCGTTTTGGTTTAATCACAAGCATCTGGGTGGGCGTGAGAAGAGCCGAGTGAGCATCTCTGCTGCTGCTACCCTTGGTGCTCCAGCCTCGGGCTCTGTAAGTTTGCAAAAGTCCTGGTGCGCAGCCCGTTCCTGCATTCCAAGCACCTAGGCCGAGCTGCACCTGTCCCTCTCTTGCCAGCACCGTCTCCAACAACAGCGGCGGCAGCAGCGGGAACCGTGGAAGCGTTTCAGCCACTTCTCGGGTGGGGGAGCTGCCTCCGTAACTTCCACAGTTCCCGCCGCTGCTGCTGTTGTTATTGGAGACGGCGCTGGTGAGAGAGGGACAGCTACAGCTTGGTCTGGGCGCTTGGAATGCAGGAACGGGTTGCGCAGTGGGACTTTTGCAAACTTGCAGAGCCTGAGGCTGGAGCACCAAGGGTAGCAGCAGCAGACATGCTTGCTTGGCTCTTCTCACACCACTCAGGATTAAACCAAAACGCAGTGCGCAGTGCTCCCAGGTACCTCAAAATCTTTTTTTTTCCTGTTGTTACGGGGATGGGGGAAAAGCAGGAGCAACTCAGATGCTGTTTTTGGAAACGGCGCTGGTGCACGGGGGGGGAGAAATTAATTCACCCTCGAAAAGACATCCTAGCCGTTTTTTCAGAGCTCAAAAAAAAATAAGGCCCGGCCTTATTTTGTGAGAAACACAGTAAGGTAGTAATTTAAGTTGCAATTTAGTTCAAAGGCCCATGGTGCCAGGGAATTAGAAATTCAGTATTTCTTTCTTGAATCTACAGTTAGTACTACAGCAGGTCACTTCCAGCATTAAAGCTTGGAGATCTCCTAAATCATGTTGCTCAGTCTTTATTTGCCTTTAATGCTTCTCAGCCCCATTGTTCACCCTCGCTAAAATCCCAAATGTCATATCACTGAGAACCAATGTAATATTATGCTAAATTCATTGAACCAAAAAACCCATACTAAAATATCTATCCAGGCTAGGAGCTCAATAAGTGACTTTGAGCTACTTTGGCTCATCTGTCTTCAGATATATTGTAAAGACAAGTCACCTTCCCAATCTCCCCTCAATAGGGCTAGGCCAGATATTTTAATCTGCTGACCAGTACTATCGTATCATTCATGTGTGTGTGTGGATGGATGGATGGATGGATGGACAGACGAATGGACAAACAGACAGACAGATGGATGGACAGACAGACAGATGGATGGACATACAGTTATGTTCATCAATGCTGCTACTATGCTGTTTTTGTTCTTTACTGTTCAGATAATAGCCTGAATAAGACTGAAATGAAATTTATATTTATGTATTATGCATCATATTTATATAGCTACTCATCTCACAAAAAAATAACTCTGGGCAACATACAACAATGAATTAAGAAGAAAAACCATTAACTATATAAAAATGCAATATATTTTAAAAATCATTCTAAGAAAATGGGGGGGGGGACCGCTAATACCACTAGAGACAAAGCACAAGTAACCGCAAGACTCCTCCACAGCCAGGTTCTACGTACTCCCCAAAGTACACAAGAACCGGATCCCCTTATGTCCAATTGTGTCTCTCCTTGGAACACTGATGTACAAACTAGCAAAAACCTGCAGAGGAAACTCAGACACCTGGTCAATGAATCAACCCACTCAATAAACTCCCCAGAATAATTCCTCTGATGCATCAAGCACATCAAAATTAACAAGGAAGAAATCATGGTCTCCCTCGATGTCACTGCTCTCTTCACCTTGATTGATATTAACTTGGCTAAGCAAACCATACACCATCTACT